TTTATACAGGGAACCAGGGATTTATTTTTCCCTTGTATGTGAATATCTTACTCCCCTCACAGACACTGACACACCAGTGAGCTGCAGAAATAGGATTACATACTGCAGGTCCCTCTCTCCCCCATCTCAGTTCCTTATTTACCAAACAACCCTTGTTAATCCTCTTTACTGTGTTTACTTCCCACTTCCCTCCAGTCTTACTGTCCTCCTATTATTCAGGTGCTTGGAGACATTAAAAAAAAGCTTAAGAGACAGCCACCTCCAGAGCTGATTAAAATGAATCAAGCTCCACTGATTGTTTTTGAATCCACACCAATTTACACCAGATGAAGATTTGTTAGAGCTGCTGGCACTGACAGTGCACTTGCCCAGGTCCAGTCCACAAACCATGTAATACTGAAATGATCCAGCTTCTTCCAGCCAGTGCTAGTTTATGCAATGTCCTTGGGCTGCCTACTTTTACTTCTTGGTGAGAGTGAGACATGATAGAGAGATGCCTGGAGGTATTCCAGATTTTGATCCAGTTATTCGTCTGCTCTTGCTACGTGCTACAGAAATCGCTGGTTGCCAGATCGCTTTCCTTATCCACCAAATGAACAGAAAAGTCCCACTGCTTACAGTGGGCCTGAGCCGTGGCCAGCGTGTGATTAAGCCTGTCCTAGAAATCTGCAGATGTTACAGACTGTGATTGCTGCTGGCGCTAAGTGCCAATCCTTAACTCTTTTCTAATGTGCCATGGGAAAGTTTCTTAAGAGAAGATTCACATTTTTTTTAAAAGAGGAAACATCCCTCTGTCACCGAGACCAGAGAAAATAGCTGTTCCCCCACTGCCAAACTGAGGGTGCTATCACCATGTGTGTAACCATGCTGCAGCACAACTCAGTATCACGTGCAGTCTCCTCTGGTGCTTGATCCATGCAGTAGTGCACATCTGTACCTGGCGTGCCAGTCATGCAGGGCCCAACACTGCAGATGCCAGCATCACACATTGGAAATTTAGAGGCTGCTTCAAGAGCCTTCGAAGAATTGCCCCATATGTGTCTTCCTAAGAGTTTAACCTGTCTAGCGATTCTCTGAGTATTAAAGCTGATTGACACATTTTTGGTATTAGTTCCCTCATGGACCAGAGAGGTCAAATCCGTCCATTGGAATGGATTTCAGCATTTCTTATGGCCATTTCATATTGGGATAACCTGAGTATTGCCAGGGCAGATGCAGGGATGGAGGTAGCAGCATGCTGGCTTGGTTTTGGTAGCTATTTTACACAAAGATGCACCAATTCACTAGGTTGCATTTTATCACAAAAAGCCTTAGTGCCTAAAACTGGTGATATGCTAAAGCTTTAGCTTTTACGAGGAAAAACAAACCATCCCGGGAGAAACAGTTTTTATACAGATTGAATAAAACCATGGTTGAGTTACGATACCTCGAGGACAGTCACTCCCTCTCCCCCTGCTACAGAAAAGAAACCATTTGATTGGGTCTGGCCCTTTGAAACCAGTAAATGAGATTTTAACTTAAGCACAATAGGATTTTTCCTCTTCTTTCTACTTCAAATTTGATTCTTACGAAAGTGAGGGATTAATATAACAGATCCAAGCTCTGTGCAAATAAATCTCTGCCCGCACTTTCCTACTAAAACATTTAACTCTTGCTACACCCTACAACCAGATGATTGCTATCTTTTCACTCTTCAGCATCTCTTCCCTGCTTACCCTGCTAATTAAGCTGAGCTGTATGCTTTAGGCTAAATAGGATACAGATAGCATTGATGGTCAGGCTGTAAACCCCACTTCATTTGGAAGACTAACAAGCAGAGAAATCAAGTTATTCCAGTTAGGCTTTTGCAATACCCTCCTGTAATACTTATGGATTTGTCACTGGGAGATACATGCCATATACATCTACTATAGTAGATACATAGGATCTACTATAGATAGGATACATAGGATATAGACAGATGTATACATAGGATACATCCATCCATGAGTAAAGCTGGTACTATCATCCGACCTGAGCTCATGTTCAGTAGGTACTAGTTTTTTTAATTTTGATTTACCTCTTTTTTAGCTGATGAGAATTTTTAAATGTTTTCCTGTTGCACCAAAAAAGAAAAAGACATAAGCCATCTGCTGCTGCCAAGCCAGTTTTCATGCTTACTGGCACTTCCAGTTTTTGTCACACCCCAGGCTCTCATCAGAATGAGGGTTTCCAAATGTGAAGACGTGGATCTCCTCCCTCTTCTCCCCCAGGAAATGGTAAAAAAATTCCTGTCTAAAAATGCTGGAGGGTGACAGTCTTATGCAAGATTTTAGGGAGCATATGGTCGGATAATAATTCTTGCCACTTTCACATTTACACTGCTCATCAGAAAGTAGGTGATGAATCTCAGTGACACCCCTGAGATGTAGGCAAATGCTTTGGTATCTGCTTCAGAGAGAGGAAACTGAGCAGGAGACGACTTCGAGGGTCAGTTTGTGATGGGCACTGTGAACAGTCCCATCCTTTGCCACTCTCCTGGTCCCCCCTGCAGTGACCAGCTACATGACAGCAGGGAACCGAGGCTCTCTGAAACCCACAGACGTGCTTGATATGGTGCAAGAAGGAAAGGATGCTGTTCACTGGTGAGATACAAGGCTACCCTCGTCCAGAGCTGAGAAAGAGTCAGGGCAGGCAAAGGTGGGGTCTTCAGGCTGGGCTCTGATTTCTACATCAAGGCAATCAGTGTGTGCCTTCCCTTGGATGAAGAGGGTTGTGCCATTTTGAGGTTCAACCCAACCTCGATGCAGCTGGAGGATGAGTGTGTGGCGTTCACCTCTAAAGGGGATGGCTATATTATAAGTAAGCAGACAACGTACTGCCTTGGAGGTGAGAGACAGATCTGTTGGAGATGCAATGACAGGGGTCCCAATTCTAGGAGATGTACAGGAAGAAGGGCCTGGGAGGAGGACTGCAGAGGACAGCTGGTGGGATGGAGGTGTGAGAAAGGATGGGGCAGAGCACAGCTATGGAGCCAGAGGCTGGAACACACTGGAGGGACTTTCTGCTTCCGCATCACCCAGATTAATCCTCCCACTCTTTCTCTAGTCACCTCTACCTCCCAGCAAAAAATAGAGTGAGGGATTTCTCACACTAGCTAAAGCCAATTCAGCTAAACAATACGGGATAATACTCTGGTCGAAGGCAGAGATGCTTCTCTTGTGAAGCATCTTATCTTATTTCCCGGTGTTTATCAATAAATACCTTTTACAGTGGATCAGGGAACCTGAACTACTGAGGAACACTGCCAGGCACTTTAGGACATCCTTTTAAGAGAGCTGTTTTAGGAAGGACTCATTGATGAAAAGAAACGCTCTAGTTACTCTGTAAAAATATAATTAATAAGATTTTCTTTTATAGCTGTATGCCCCACATCTGTGCAGTTTTTGGCTTAGCATTTGTCAGCAGTGTGAATGTCAACAATAAGAAGATCTAAGAGGAATTTTCACTTTTCTTGGAGCCTGATGACTGTTCAAGGGGCTGACTTGTACATTGATATTCACACTGTTGACAAATAATGGGTGTCATCAGAGCAGATTTGAAAAGCAATCCCTGGCTAGGCACAAGTTGCCTCCGAGAGTTACTGCTCCCATAGGTATATTTTGCAGCTTTGGCAGAAATCATTCACAATTTGGCACTAGGCTGACAAATACAACAGCTGGTTTTGAAACAAATACAGCTCTCCCCGTGGAATCGGACCAATCCCCTATGAACAGCCAGTGGTAGATTAGGAACTACAAGTAAGAAATTTTGCACTGATTACCAATCTAATTCGACTCCAATTTCAGTCCTCCATACACAGACAATTTTTAAGAAGTTCAGTAGACAGAGTGAAAGCCTTCCAACTCCTCAAAACTAATAAGTATTCGTTTTAGCTAAATGAGAATAGCAAAGATACTTATGTATATTTAACAAGAAATTAGATACAGACCCCTGTCCCCTTGTTTGAATTCTCCCTTTTTGATGCTCTTGGATATACTATTCTTTAAATCCTGCATAAATTTTTCAGACAACCACAAAGCACATGCAATGCTCTAACATTGTGATATCCCTGCTGAGCCTCATCAAAAATCTTGTAGTTGCTTTGCATGCAGATAATGTTTTTCATGAAGGGTATTTGCTTTTCTTCTTCCCCCCTCAAAAACCCAAAATCCCAAAGCTGAATAAACATCATTTAATCCAAACTGTGATTCAGTTGTTACTGCAGTTATCTCATGAGAGTTTTGGATTTTGACTTTTTCTGCTCAAAATATGAAATATTATTTAGGGGAAGAAATTATTCCCACTCCTATATTTCTATGTAACTGAAGACAGTAATTTCTAACTACTGGCAAGCACATCTATTGCAAAGACAGTGGCAGAGGAGCTGAAATGGTTACTACACATCGTGTTGTACATAGGCTTCACATAGGCTTTTTAATTTAAAGAGACAGGTTTTGAAATTGATTCTGTAGATGATCATTTTGACACAAGAATAAATTAGAAGTAGAGTCTCCAAATGAAAAACTACCCAAATTACCCTAGAGTTTGAGTTACAAGAGCTTGCATCAATCTGAAATGCTACAATTAGTGATGGGCCCAGGCCAAAAATCTCACATCCCATGTGTAAATTCTGAATACTACCAGAACTGGGTAGAACGGTGTTTCCTGCCCCTACACTTGGCCAAGCCAGAGCCAGCAACTTGCAGCAATTTGACCTTGGGGAGTTCATATTAATCATTGTGGCCCTGTCCCACTTCTAGTTTTTCTCCTCCTCATGCCCATGACTGTGCACAAAACGTCATCCTTTACACAGGCAGGATACGGTACATCCAGTGACTTTCCAGTCAAAACACATATTGACTACAGGATGCATTTTGCCTTTAAGATGCCTTTATACAAAACAAGGTGTCAGCCAAGCCTTGGTCAACCTTTGTGGGGTTGTGTTGCCATAAGCACAGTAAAAGCATCTGGAGTCTTACCTTTTTATGGCTTTGTAGCAAATGATGACAACTACGAAGAGGAACACTAGTGTGGCGCAGCATACTGCAATGATAATAACCAGGCCTGGCCACCAGGTCTCTTCAGTGGGACAAAAGGTAGACTTGGGAGCTGTAAAAAAAGTGTGGAAAAATACATGAGTTCTCCCAAATAAGCAGTGTATAATCAGATACGCTTCAGTCACCCACGCAAGAGCACTGTGCCAGGGCCACAGATACATGCAAAGAGGATATTTCAAATTTAGGACCCATTTTTTTTCCCAAGAAATCAATTAATTTGGTGCTAGATATTTCTTATGGTCCCCAGATGACCTAGCTCTCAGTGTCAATGCTGTCCACATGCTCAGCACGAAGGAGAAAGGGTCAGCTCTGCTACTCATGGGAAACCTCTCCTCCCTCTGCATTTGCCATCTCCTGCTACATCAGATTTAGTTTGAGAGAGAGATGTTACGCTGATAAGGGTAGGCTTTCAAACCCCATTAGGGGAAGTTTATCGGGGAGCTGCAGCAGTGCCTACCAATCAGTATTGCAGCTGCTATCACTGTAACCTTGGAGCAAAGAAGGAGGATTTGTTTTAGAAGAACACTAATTTTATTACATTTATTAACTGCTTTTAGAGGACTATAGTTGACAAGCTTCTTTCCCGTTATATTGTCTTTGAATTGTATCTCCAATAGCTAAGAAATGTCAACATTAAGTAAAGTTAACCTGTGAAAATACAAGCAATTACTATTACATTTTTTCTTATTCAATTAGGGCTAGAATTGTCTATGTAAGTACTACTCAAAACAAGCAATATTTTGCATCAGGAATAATACTGGTGGCATGTAGTTCAAATCTTTTCCTTCAGGATCATATTCCTTTTCCCATGCTTTGAGGGTCTCCTGAAGGATGGTGAGTAACAGACAGTGGCATGAACACTACGAGTGTATTGCAGAGGGGGAAGAGACCCTTAACTCCGTGTACGCAACCACATAAATTCCATGAGGATTTGAGTCACCCTAAATGAAGTTTAATAATGAATCAGTCAATGGGACTGTCTAAACCTACATTTTCAGTTAACCAGGGGAGAGTATTAAATATAGCAAAAGGCTTTCTTTTGAGTCTAATTATTTGATCTGATATATCCTAAATTCTGAATTTCCTGTTATACACATTACAAATAGGCGCACAAGTTAAAATATGTCATCACACCTGCATCATTTATTGTGAGCTGACATCTCCTGTGCCTCCTCTGTTTGATTAGGAAAAGACACACACACACACTTAGGTTTAACACTCCTTAGGTAAAATCCTGAAGTACACAATTAATGAGAAAGTTTTTTTTTTCCAATTGCATGATCTATAGAAGAACTGGCAACATTCACCCAGAGAAATCTGCAGGAGCACCTTAGAAAAAGACCAGGTAAAGAACTATAAGAATCAATCAAAATAATAAAGCCAACAGCTTGCTAATTTATAGGCAGTTCAGCATTTGGTGCCACATAAGAGGTCCTGTCTTTCTCACATGCATCAGCATTCAACACATGCTGTCACTCTGATCGTACTTGTCTAGCAAATATTGTCTCCAACTTATTGTACATCTATTAACTGTGAGGGTGGGGTTTTTTGTGGTTTGTTTTGGTTTGGGGTTTTTTTCCCCATGGGAGATAAAAGTAATACTGAAAAATTGATTTGAAAAATTAATGGTTCCTGGCTCCTCTTTTGACAATGTGTCCACTCCCAGACTATCTCAGCACTGAATTTCTACTTTATTACTATGAAGTCAGTTTTCAGTGGGTGATGGAATTATGTATTGTGTTGTGATAAAGCTAATGTTTTTAATATTCTCTGAAAGTTTTCAATACTGTTATTTTCTAAGATTCCAGAACAGAGGGCATTTCAGAGATGACAAAACATTTGCATGAAGGAGCACGCAGTCTTAGGGCCAGCTCCAGCCTCCTGGCGTTGCCCTAACAAACACAAAAGGTTTCAGTGAAATCAGAAGATGATATACGCCAGCAGATGCCACGTATAACTAGATGAGAACATAAAAATGGGGCAAGTAGGGCCATCCTTATCTTGTTCTTGTTCTTTCTCCAAGGCAGGATTGACCAAACTATTCATAAAGCAAACCGAGATGGTGAGACGGGGTCGCTCCTTGGCACAACACGAGACTGACAAATGGCAGAGACAGGGTATAAAGCAAGGCTTGTCACAGGTCTGTGCACCACACGCTCCTTGGCGGTTTATCACAGTATTTTTACAGGGAGAATAAACAGATACATGAACAACTGAATAGTAAATATAATTTCTGTCTAGTTATTAATGACAGGAAAATAAGAAATGCTGATGTGGAGGTGTCCCCTGATCCACCTGGCTCAGTTCCCTTCCCCACTGGTTCAGACCAGGCACTCAGAAAGAAGCACGAGAAATCGCACTGGCAGCTATCAAACCCTGTTTCTTAGTGGCTGGTGGGTTTATACAGCTTTAAAGAGTATTTTCTATTTCTACCCCTTATTACTGCAGTGGTAGGTAATCTTGTTTTCCTTAGAAATGTCCACTCTTTTTCCAATAAGCTCCTGGTTGCGTGCTATTTTCTGCCTTTCTCAGTATGCATTCACACAGCCTTCATTACCGTGGCATTTCTATGCCCTTAATGCATTTCTCCTCACAATTATCCTCAAGGAAGAGCAGAACTGCTTTTAATCCCCTTGCGCTGATGGAAAGCCCAAGCCTAGCCCGCACGGATGCCTCCATGTGCCTGCTGCGCTGCGTGCCTATTAAGCAGCAGCTGGGAAAGTCAGCCGAGAGGGGAATCTCCCAAAGAGTCAGCGAGGGCCTGGGAAGTGCCATGTCCTCAGAGAGGTGCCTCTTGGTGAGTCCCGTGCTGAGCTCCTGATATTAGGGAAGCGTTGACGTCTCCATCCCCCTGGGATGGGGCTCACGGCTCTGCTCCCTGGGGCACCCCAGGGCTGGGGAGGCTCTCCGCCCTCCTGTGCCCGGGTCCCACCCCCAGTTCATTACCCACAGTGTAGAAAAACCAGGTTGCCCCCCTGCGAGTGGCTGAGCCCACATCCATCATGCCCTTAATGATCGGAAATTATCCTGGGGTGAGGATACCCATAGCACTCTCTTGCAATTGTGCCATTTTGCATGGAATAGCAATGCATTTCTTCGGCACAAGGTGGAAGAGGGAAGACATGGGTCCCAAACCCTGCTCTAATACTGAAATTCTTATGGTAAACACTGAGCAGAAGATGTCCCACACTACCTATAACAACGACAATATCCGGTTGTTTCATTGTCTTGCAAAAGTTTTGATGAAATGCAGGAAAACACTTCAATTCTTGTGGTTGCCTCCTTCTTTGTACCACCTCTTTCAAACCCATTATAAACCCCCCAAAGGTGTATGCTTTCAGAACTGAATTAGAATCCTTTTTTTCAGAATCCTTTCCCTTGTCACATAAAGAAACAACAAGCCATGTACTACTCTCATTCACAGTGGTGTATCTGGGGAGTGGAGGACACCTCTGGGCACAGGGAGTCCCTTTGTCATCACTGTGGGGCTACTGAGAGCTGAGGGCCGGCTCGCCCGGCCAAGGTGTTTGCTCCCTTGGCACCCATCACCGGTCTCACGCGAGCAGTTTCAGCTGCTCAGAGCATGGTTGCCTCCTGGTTTGACTCATTCTTGGCTGCTCTTCACTGGTCTCAAAATCAGCTGAATGGAGAAAGTGATTTTCACAGTGCAAAACAACTTGACAAAAATGTGCTTTTTCTCCTAAGCCCCGAAGTGTTGTTCTGCACATTAAACATACCGTTGGGTGGAAAGTGGTAGGAAAGTGATGACATTTTAAAGAAGATAAGCAGAGTGAGCTAAGCAATCACAGCCTGTCACCCTAACAGAAATCCTGCCAAAATAATGAAAATCTCATTCAATTAATAAAATATCAAAATAAATAATGGATGCTAAACAGCATCGGTTTAGGAAAACACATCTTGTCAAACTAACTAGATATTTTCTGAGGAGATTACTGGTTTGGTAAATAGATGTATTAGTGCTGGCGTGATAACTTTAGACTTTGGTATGACATTTGACTTAATTCCACATGATGTTGGGGTTATGAAACTATAAAGCTAAACAGTAAGTGTGGCACACATAAATTGAGTTGAAAGCCAGAGAACTGGTATGTCTCAAAAACTAACTATAAATGGAAAGTCACTGCGGAGAGAGTGTGTTTTTTAACAGCGACTCCCCTCCAAAATAGGGTGATGGATACTGGTAGTTTGTAACTATACAAGAACATACTCCTCTACAAGTGGAGACTAGGCATATTTAGATTAGAAATATGGTAATTATTATCATTAAGGGCAATTATCCATTACAATAGTCTATCAGCTCTGGTGGAGTATTTCATTGAAGACTTTAGCTTAAGGTAGACTTTTCATTTTTTCCTAAAAGAAGTCTAAATTCAGCTAAAGAGATTGGACTCAGCATAAGATTTAAGTAAAGGAAATGCTCTGTCTCCAGAAAGGCCACATGAGCACAATGCCTTTTTTTCTTGGCTTTAGAAATTACGAAGTACAAATGACGGTTAGGTTTATACTTAGAGGGCCAACACCTTCAACTATTTCCAACAGGACCAGGCCTAAATAAATACAGTGAAAAAACAGACCAAGTTCAGACCTACAGCGGGTAGCTGGATCCCTCTTTTTGAAAACAAATTCATAACAAAGTTCTTTCAGAGCAAAGACATCCTGCAAACTATTTAAGCACCACAAAAATCTCACAGACTTGCTTTCTTTGACTAAATTTGTTTTGAAGGCTCAGCATAAAGACACAGCTCCAGTTCTAATGTTAGTAGGTATCTGTACACACATGGGTCTGGCCAGAAACGTGCATACCAGGAAAGATTAGCTCAGCTACAGAGGGTTTCCCTCAATGCCCAGGCACAAAAATAGAGGTTGTGTCACTGGAAAGGAAACTTCCATAAAATTGCAAAGAAGTGTCTGATTTCTTTTTAGCAAATCTCAGAGTGGGTCACTCTCAAAATTGCCCCGAGCTACTAAAACCAAAAAACAGCGATGAAGCTGTTTTAATCTTCTGGATTAAGCTTTAAATAGTTTTGTGTA